TATACTGCCCCCTCTCTCTGGTTCTGGAGAAAAAGCACTAACTCTGCTCCCTCCACACACACATTCAGTCCTCCCTGAATCCCGGAGTCCTCAGGGATTGGTCCTGAGTCTTTCCCCTCTCTTCCCCTCCTCGCTGGGTGTATCACCCCCACCCCCATTACCTCAGCTTCTCATTTTTGCACCATTGATGACATCCATATCTCTGTCTGGAGCCGCAGCCTCTTCCCTGAGTCCCAGATCAGCAGTCCTGTAATCTCCTTGGTGCCTTTCCTTGGATGCCCCCTCCCATCCACCAAGTCCCACACTGGCCTCAATATCTCCCCAAGCCTGTGTCCCCATCTCAGGAATGTCATATTTTCTGGGACACACTCTCTCCCCACTCCAGTGGTAGGTCACACAATGCCCCCAGCAGTTCACCCACACTCACTCTGGAGGAAGGTGATGTCAGGTGCTGGCTTTGCATCCCCAGACACACAGCTGACCTCGTATTCCTGCCCAGCTACCCACGTGACTGTGCTCCCTGCCTCTGGAGTCAGCTGAAGCACCTTGGGGGGCACTGATGAGAAAGAGTCTGGGGTAAGCCGCCACCACAGAGAAGGATATGAGGATTTGGGCTTTGAATCTCATTGCTCATGAAATGAGTTCTGCACCTTGGATCTGAGGAAGGAGAGGTTGGGGGTTTGGACTCCTGGGCTCTGGGGTAAGAAAGCGCCGGAAGTTCAGACTCATAGGTCCTAGGGGTTCTCTCACCCATACCCAGAACAGAGAGGATCACTCTGGGAGACACAAGCTCAGGGTCTGTCTCTGAGCGGCCGACCTGGCACTCATACTCTGCGTCGTCACTGAGGTCACATGCTTCAATATGCAGGTGGTATTCGCCTGCAGATGGGATCCAAGGTCAGGGCCGTGGTCAGCCTCTGCTGCAGGGTCTCAGGCTTTGATCCCTTACCTCTAGTAGGGTCCCCTTCCAGGTGGTACCGCGGGAAGCCGGGGATCCTAGAATCAGGGCCTAGGAGTAGTCCATCTTTGGCCCATTGCACCGCACTGCCAGGGGCACTGACCCCACACCGCAGCTCAGCAGCAGCCCCCTCCACCACCGTTGTGTTTTGGGGCAGAGCCCAGAAACCTCGTGTGGGAGAGGCAGGGATCTGCAACTGGGCCAGGCCTGGGGACACAGGAAAGTCAGCAGGAGAGGGCAGAGGGTCTGTCGGGAGAATGTCGGTGGGAAATAAGGGCCTCTTAACGCTGGGTCACAAGGCCAGGATTCCACTCACCTGTGGTCAGTAGCCCCATGAGGAGAAGGGGAGCCTGGATGGGGATCCTCGGGGCCATCCTAGGTCCTCCGCCTGTGGCTCCCGAAGCGCCTACTGCCTGCCTCCTGCGTCTGCCTCTGGCTTTCTCTGGGTCCCTCTCCCTGTGTCTCTGTCTCTTGCTTTTCTCTTTGTCTCTCTTTTTCCATCTGTCACCTTCTCTTTCTTTGTTTTTATCTCTTCCCATGAGTCAGTCCCTTCCTCCCTCCCTCCCTCCCTCTCTCCCTCTTTCCCTCCCTCCTTCTCTTTCTCTCTTCCTTTCTATCCCTCTCCCCTTCTGCCTTTCTCTCTCCCTGCTCTAAGTCTCCTCCACTCTCCCTCCTCTTCTCTCTCTCTCTCTCTCTCTCTCTCTCCCTAAGGCTTACGCTGTTTCTCTCTGAGTTTCTATCTCCCTCACCATCAGTCTTTATTTCTCTTTCTTCTCTCCTGCTACCCTCCTCTCTGTTTTCCTCTCACCACTCACAGCCCCTCAGGAAAGACCCGCTGCTCAGATTCCAGCAGGCTCCACCAGCCAAGGAGAGCGATGAAGCCAATGAGGTCAATGGGCAGAGATGTGCCTTGTTCTGGGACCCAGCCTGATCTTGTCCTTGCACTGTTACCTCCCCCAGGCACCCTCTGGAGTCACCAGCTCCAGGCCTCTGCCCAGCAGGCTCCTCCCGGCTCAGCTGGAGAATGAAATCCCCTGTCAGCACATGCCAGGCATATTCCTCCGTGCCTCCCCAGCCCCCATGACCCCAAGGGCCTGGCTTGGGCCAGGGATAAGAGGATGCAGGTCAGACCCAGCTCAGCATGGGGAGCAGAAACCTGGGCCTGGTGTGGGGATAGGCTTCCCCACCTCTTCCCTGCCCTGGTACAATGACCTTGGCATGCTCCTTGCTTGCTGAGTAGACATTGCCCCCTCAGTGACATCACGAATGTCCACTAAAGAGTGTGCAAAAGTGTGTGTGAGAGGCTGGGAGAGTGCAGATATCTGTGTGCACGTGTGTGTGAAGTGCATGTGAGCATGCGTGTGAGTATGGGGAAGAAGAGAGTGAATTGTGATCTGTGAAAGCATATGCATAGTGTATGAGTGTGTACAAGTGTCTAAGGTATAAGTGTGCAGGGGGCAGGGCAGTCAGGGTGGGTAAGAGTGAAAGGTAGGGCCCAAGACCACCAGCACAAAGTGTGGGTATAGCATTGAGCCCAGCGTGGGAACCTTTTGTCAAGGGCCTCGTGAGTTCTAGTTCATGTGGCTTCTTTCTGTCTCTCCCATCTCTTCTGTGTCTGTCTCTCTCCCTCCCTTTATCCATCTCGATTTATTTTTCTGTCTTTCTCCATCTCTTTGAGACTCTCCTCTCTGTCTCGGTGTCTTTATCTCTCCCCTGCCCCATTAGACAGTTACCTCTCAGTCAATATTTAAAAATATCACTGTCTCTCTCTACATATGCTTCTATGTGTCTCTGTTTTGCTGTCTTTCTGTTTCTGTTTCTGTTCTCATCTCTGTCTCTCCCTTCCACCCCATATTCTCTCATACACACCAGGAGCTCAATAAATATTTGTTCTCAGTCATCCTTTGACTACACCTCTTTCTTTTATTTATTTCTCCATCTTTGAGTCCTCCTGATTGTCACATCTTTAAATTTCATAACCATATGCTAGTTGGCCTGCCCTCCCCACCCCAGTGTGCTCAAACACGCTCACATAGGATAAGCTTCTTCTCTGCCTGCTTATCTCCTGCAGGAATTGGAACTGCTCGTTTTCTCTCTCACCCCATGACACACACACACACACACACACACACACACACACACACACCCCATATGGTCCTCCTCCAGGAACAAGATGAGGCATCTGGCCTGAGCTCCATCCTTGATGCTCTTTCTTCTTCTATCCCATTATTGTCTCCTTGCCCTCCACCTACATTTCCTCTCCCAACTCCCTCCTCCCACCTCCTGGGGAATAGACTGGATGCAGAGCTAGGGGTTCTGTCATAAGGGCCCTCACCAGATGGTGTCCTTTGGGGCCAGGGTGTAGAACTGTCAGTTGCTAGGACCTTTAATTAGCACAAACCATCCACCCTCCACTTTGGCTGTTTTCCTTCTCTGGATGCTCCTGGGACCCCAGGCTCTCCATCTTTCCATGCCTGTGGCCCCAGAGAGCCAGGAAGGGGAAGCGATGTCAGATGTCTGGAAAAACAGCCTTACTACTCAACTTCCTCCCTAAGCCTCAGGAGTACTGGCCCCAAGCTCATCCGATTTCAAAATCCAAGTGCTGGATCCCCAGAACAAAAGCCAGGAGTTCAGGCCCCCAGATCTAGAAGCCTGGGACCCCAAGACCCACCCCTCTCAGACTCAGGAGTCCAGGCCCACAGCCCCTTTTCCCCAAATTTCCAGGAGTTCAGGACACCATTTCCCTGCCACACACCCCCCACACACACACACACACACAGGACTTAGGGCAGATGTTCACTGCCTGTTGATTTTCAAATCCTCCTGGGCCTGTGTGGGGGTGGGAGAGAGATTGGTGCTTAAATCCACTGACCCTAAGGCTTAAAACCAGATTTTCTGACCCCCTCTCATCCTCTCCCAACTGCACCCTGCTGCAGGCAGAGGACCTAGTTGAGTCCTCAGCTCCTCAGAAACTCGGAACTTCTCAGTCAACAGAGGTCTGAACCCCCAGTCTTAGAATCCTGGAAGTCCAAGACCCTGCCATTTAGGGCCGCAAGACTCGGAGCTCAGGAACAACGGAAAACCTGCGTGTGCACCCCCAATCCCTTCAGGCTCTGGAATGTCAGACCCAGGTTCCCAGGGCTACAGTCGCCCCTCAGTGGCTCCGTGTCCCGCCCACCTGCCTGGCCAGCTGCGTAGCGCACCGGTGGCCTGCAGCGTGGGAACGCCCCAGCTGGGCGGCATGCAGCCGTCAGGACAAGCTGCGTGGTTCCCAGCCTCCCTGCCTGCCCCCGCCAGGGCACCGCCGCCTCCCAGCCGTCTCCAGGCAACTACGGCCGAGTGGGGCAAGGGACTGAGCCCGGACTGCGGGGTCTTGGGAAAGGAGGGGCTAGGGGCCTGGATTCCTGGATCTTAGGACGTGCCGTGGTTTACAGCGGTAACAAGCAGAAAGAGGGATGTTTTGAGGGATTTTGAGGCGGGGAGAGCAGAATCCCGCTTCTTCTCGAGGGTCCCAGCTGCCCCCCAGGAATCCCAATGCCCTCTTCCTGACCCGAGGCCTGGCCTCCCCAGGGCGCGGAAACTAGAGAGGCCCCAGGGGGTCCCATTTATAGCTCTGTTTCCACTCGGCACAGTCCCTCCAGGACCTGGGCTGAGCAAGTTTCTTCCACTCCCTCCCCTCCCTCCTCCTCATCCCTTTTCCCCCACCCCCAACTCTGTCAGGGTGCAGGTGTCCAACCCATCCAGGACCCCCTCCTTTGATCCAGGTGTTCCGGCTCCCAGATACCAACTGGACTAGGGCGCCGGCCGCGGGCAGTGGCCCCATTCCTCGGCGTCTCAGCCGCGGGAGTTTCTCAATGGGAAGAGGGCGGATCCCCCAGGGGGTGGGGCGCGCTGGGGCGTAGCGAATGGGATTAGACCCTCCTGGGGTCTCCCAGAGACTCAGCGCAGTCAACTCGCCGGCGTTTCCGAGCAGTCGGAGCCTGAGCTGAGCAGACTTGAGAAACTCCAGGCCAGGGACAAGGGGGGCCCTAGCCGGGGGTGAAGAGTCGGGCGCGAAGGGGCCTCCGGGCTAGAGTGGTGGGAGGCGTGCTGTCGAGGAAGCTGTTGGCAGGGAAGCCAGTGCGATATTAAGTCCACTGGATCTTGGGGGACACACATTCAGGATGCTGGTTCCCGCCCTCCTCGTCCTCTTCTTCTGCCTCAGAGGGCGTGCAGGTACCGCGATGGGCCGGGGAGGAGGTAAATATGGGAGAGGATTGTTTGACAGCTGCCGCTTTAATGGGGTGAATGGAACCGAGGGCTCGGACTCCTGGGTCTGAGGGAGGAGAAGTCGGGGAGCCTGGGCTTCTGGGTCTGAGGAAAGGGAGGGTTGGGGACTGGACTCCTGGGTCCTGAATGAGGGAGCTCTTGAATGTGCTAAGCTCAGCTCTGCTCCCCCCCCCTCCCGTTCTCCTAGGCCTGTCGCCCCACTTCTTGCAACAGCCGGCAGACCTGGTGGTACTGCTAGGGGACGAGGCCCGGCTGCCCTGTGCCCTCGACGCATACTCAGGGGTGGTTCAGTGGACTAAGGATGGGCTGGCTCTAGGGGGTGAAAGGGACCTGCCAGGTGAGGCTGTTCTCTCTACTCAGGGAAGGGCTGGCTCCAGGGTGGAGGTGCTGGTATTGGGCTATAACTGAAGTTCTTATTTTGACATTTTCAAGTTTGAGAAATTAATGGGCTCAGGAAAACATTTGGGAGTCCTGAATTTTTAGCTTATACTTTTGGTGTAACCCATAAGGTTTGGAGATTTTTACTTTTATTGCAAATTATTATGTAAATGCAGAAAAGCACATAAAACATAAATGGAAGATTTGCCAAATAATTGTAAAGTAGACACCCATATAACCACTACCCAAGTCCAGAAATCCTCCTTATTGCTTTCCCCTAGCATAGCCTGCTCCCTCTTCACCCCAGAGGTAGCATCTAATATGACTTTTATGGCAATTGTTTTCTGGCTTTCTTTCTGAAATGATCACCCCCAAGTTTGAAGTGAATCTGGATTGGGAGAGGGTTAGTGTCTTGGCCCAGCCTCCACCCACTTTTGGTAGTGTCTTTCTGGTGTGGGATGGGGCTGGGAACTCAGAATCATGATGACTCCCTCTTCCCTGATTCCAGGGTGGTCCAGGTACTGGATATCAGGGGATTCAGGGAGTGGCCAGCACAACCTCCACATTAGGCCCGTGGAGCTACAGGACCAAGCATCATATGAATGCCAAGCTACACAAGCAGGCCTCCGCTCTCGACCAGCCCGATTGCACGTGCTAGGTGAGGACCCAGCCCGCTCATCCCCAGGAGTGCCCAACCGGGAAAGCCAGTCCTCGCTGGGAGCCTGAGTCCAGGAAGCACAGAGGAGTGGTCATTTAGAGCTGGGAAGATCAGGGTCTCTGGGCCCAGGTTCCAGCTCTGACCCCAGATCCATCCCACAGTGCCCCCAGAAGCTCCCCAGGTGCTGGGTGGCCCCTCTGTGTCTCTAGTTGCTGGGGTTCCTGCAAATCTGACCTGTCGGAGCCATGGGAATGCACACCCCACCCCTGAGCTGCTGTGGTTCCGAAATGGGGTCCGACTGGATGGAGCCACTTTCCACCAGGTCAGATGCAAGTCCCTGTGCTAGCCCTTGCCCGTTTAGGGAAATGTGTTGGTCCACTCAGACCACAGGCTCATCCAGAGGAGAAAAGGGCATGGGAGGACAGCGGTTCAAAGGTTGGAACCCTTGGTGTGTGATTAAAGATAAGGACTCTAGGGCTGAACTACCTGGGTTCAAATCCTGGCTCAGTCACTTGCTAGTTTATTGATCTTGAGTAAGTAACTTAACCTCTTCTGTCACTCAGTTTCCTTATCTGTACAATGAGGATAATAGTAGTATGCACTTCATAGGGTAATTTATTGTGAGGATTAAATTAAGTGATCCTTATAAGTGCCTAGAAGAGTGCCTGACACATAGTAAGCACTATATAAGGGTAGATGAAATCATTATTATCATTCATAACCCCCAGACCCTGCTGAAGGATGGGACCACTGGGTCAGTGGAGAGCATCTTATCCTTGACCCCTTCCAGACATGATGATGGCGCCACCCTGGTCTGCAGGGCCCGAAGCCAGGCCCTGCCTTCAGGGAAAGACACAACTATCACATTGAGCCTGCAGTGTAAGTGCAGTTGGACACTGGGCCCTAAACCTGAGGTCCTTGGGGGGAAAGAGGGCTGGAACCTGGACTCCAGGGTATGAAGGAGGAGGGGCTATGGACCTGGAGTTTCTTGGGGGGAATTGGGAACTGGAGGCCTGCCTGGACTCCTAGCTCAAAGGGAAGAGGGGACTGGGGACCCACAGTCCTGGGGTAGAGGGGCTGGGAATCGGATTCCCAGGTCTTCAATGGGGAAATTCCATGTCCTTGACGACCGCTAATTATTGGCCCACTTCCACAGACCCCCCAGTGGTGACTCTGTCTGCAGAACCACAGACTATGCAGGAGGGAGAGAAAGTCACTTTCCTATGCCAGGCCACGGCCCAGCCTCCTGTCACGGGCTACCGGTGAGGACCAAGATCACTTCTCCACAGCCAGAAGCACAGGCTTGGGGAGGGCTGGTACTGGGAGGTGCGTAGGTGTGCCTGGGGAGCAAGACAACACTAAGAGCCCCACCACCTCCACAGGTGGGCAAAAGGAGGCTCCCCGGTACTCGGGGCCCGAGGGCCAATGTTGGAGGTGGTGGCAGACGCCTCATTCCTGACTTCACCAGTGTCCTGCGAGGTCAGCAACGCCGTGGGTAGCGCTAACTGCAGCACCGCTCTGGACGTGCAGTGTGAGCCGCGGGGGATCGTGGGTGTGGTCAAAATGGGACTAGCTTAAATGGGCCGCAGGCCAGAGTGGGGCGTGGCTGCAGCGGGCTGTGGAAGGAGCTGGGGCCCGCATAGTATGTAGGCAGAGTTTGGCTGTGTTCAGTCAGTGACAAAGTGGAGCCGGGACGGGGTGAGGGCGGGGCCAGGGCGTGTAAGCGGAGTTGTGGACAGGGGCCCTATACTTGGGCTCTTGAAGGTGCCCCTTCTGAATGGCGGATCCCGGGTCAGATGTGGCAGCCTCCCCAGTCACGTGACCCTCTCTTTCCTCCAGTCGGACCCATTCTGCTGGCAAAACCGGAGCCCTTGTCTGTAGACATAGGGGAAGACGCCTCCTTCCGCTGTGCCTGGCGCGGGAACCCGCTCCCACGGGTAACCTGGACCCGCCGCGGGAGCGAGCAGGTAAGGCCAGATTTGGGGCTAATGGTGGTGGCAAGCAGTGGATGGAGCTTCCTCCCAAGGTCCAGTCCCTGACGCCCCTTCTTATCCCAGGTACTGGGCTCTGGGCCCACGCTGCGTCTTCCGTCGGTGAGGCCCGAGGATTCAGGCGACTACATGTGCAGGGCTGAGCCCGGGCTTGCGGGCCTAGGGGGCGGTGCTGCGGAGGCCAGGTTGACTGTGAACGGTGAGAGAGCGCGGCTTCTTAGAGGATTGGGCAGGTCCTGGGACCGGGATGGGAGGAGGGGGCTAAGTCTAACGGGAGTGGGAGTGGCCTTGAGAGGAGGAGCTTTATAGGGACGGGCCTGGGGGTTGCCCGTTGGACCAAGTGACCTCAAGCCTCGGAGGGGGTTCGGAGTTTGCTGAGGGGCGTGGCCTGGTTGGTTGGGGTTGGTGGGGAGTGCCTGGGCCCGCCTTATTGAAAACTGGCTTGGGGGGGGGGGAGAAGGCGGGGTCTCTCCCCTGATTGGTCCACAATCTCCAAACCAGCGCCCCCATTAGTGACCGCCCTGCACTCAGCGCCCGCCTTCCTGAGGGGCCCCGCCCGCCTCCAGTGTCTAGTCTTTGCCTCCCCCGCCCCAGAAGCCGTGGTAAGAAAATGTCCCCGCTCACATGACCCACCCATCCGTGATCCCTGACCTCCCAGCCAGACTCCCAAACTGTGTGACTACCTCTGATTTTCCCGACACCCTCTCCGCCCCCTCCCGCCCTCCCCAATCTCCTCTGACCTCCCTCTTTTGTGCCCCCAGGTTTGGTCTTGGGATGAGGGCTTCCTGGCAAAGGGGTCGCGGGGTCGGTTCCAGGTGGAGACGTTCCCAGCACCGGAGGGCCACGAGGGACAGGGTCCAGGTCTGATCTCTGTGCTACACATTTCGGGAACCCAGGAGTCCGACTTTAGCCAGGGTTTCAACTGCAGTGCCCGGAACCGGTTGGGTGAGGGAGGCACCCAGGTCAGCCTGGGCCGTAGAGGTGAGATCCTGGGCCTGAAGACCGCAATCTGAGGATCCCACACCCCCACAACGCTACAATCCCCAAACCGAGGACCTCCAAATGCAGAGACCCTCCACCCCAAAATAAACCTTGGGAGCCTCAAAACGATGAGTACCTTGAATTCTGAGAACCCAAAACAATAAATTCTCTCAAATATGGAATCCTAAACTGAAACACCCCTCATACTCAGGTTCCCCAAAGAAGGGAACCTCCAGAGTTAAAGCTCCTCAAATTCTAAGATTCCCCAGAGCCAGGGAGTTTAAACTTGTGGAATCCCAATTTCATGAGCCCTTAAGCCCAGGAACCCCAAGCTAGAGGACTACAAACCTTGGGTAGCCCAAATTTGGCAACCCATTGAACCCAGAGACACCAACCCAAACCCTAATTCCCTCTTCCCCAGTTCCTCCTTCAGCTCAGCCTCCTCAGAGTATCCTCTCTTCTCCCTGCAGACTTGTTGCCCACTGTGAAGATTGTGGCTGGAGTGGCCTCTGTGGCCATGACACTCCTTATGGTCATAACTGGGGTGACACTTTGCTGCTGGCACCATGGCAAGGGTCAGTACCCAAGCTCCACCCCAGCACCCTTGCTCCCACCCCCACAACACACACTCACCCTGCCCACTGACAAGCCGGGCCTTGGGACCTGGCCCCAGTGCTGCCTCTCTAGCTGCTCGTGGGGCTTGGCTCACTTTCGTGCCCTGGTTCCTCCTTAAAGCCCTACCTCCACTTCCTCAGGGTCACACTCCTTGCCCTTCTCAGGCCAGAGCTCTAATTGGTTCCTAGCCTCCTAACTCTATTCCCCCAGTCCTCTCTCTTTCTGCTCAGTCGTCTTCACAAACTGTGACCCTGCCCCATTGCTTATCTCTGTCTCCCCCTCAACCCCACTGTTCCTGGCCTTAGCCTCTTTCTCCAAGCAAAACAACCTGGTGCGAATCCCAGGCAGCAGTCATGGCTCCAGTTCTCGGGGCCCTGAGGAAGAGGAGACAGGCAGCAGTGAGGACCAGGTAGGAAGCCAGGGTCTCCACACCTGATTGTGCCTCTAGAACCAAATAGTAACCCAGTCCCAACCGGGCCCCTAAACTCAAATTGGGCCCTAGACCCAGCATTGACCCCAGACCAAAATGTCCCACAAATCCAAATATGGCCCTGACCAAGTTATTCCCTAGATCCAATATGTCCCCAAGGCCCTTTGTTTTCCTGCGTCCAGAACCCAGCTCCCTCCCGCCTGGCCTCCACTATCCAGTTGAGGGTCCTTGGGTTCTGGAACTGGGGCAGGAGAATCCTTTGACCACTCCATCTCACTAAGTACCCTACCCCAGGGCCCTATTGTGCACACGGATCACAGTGACCTGGTTCTGGATGAAGAGAGGGCTCTGGAGACCAAGGTGAGTGTTGGGAGGGGTGGGGCTCACTTCATCTGTGTCTCCAACTCTCTCCCTGCTTCTGTCCCCTTCTTTTTTGTTCTGTTTCCTGCAGAGCTGGGACCTAGCCCCCTCTGCTCTCTGCCTCCTGCCTCCTGGGCTGTCTCATCCACCTTCACATATCTTTGCATATCTGCTGGCTCTGCCCACATATCTGTCCCAGCCTTGGCCTACATCTTGAGCCCCAGATCAGGGTTCACTCTGCCTGTGCTTCCCCCATCATAGTCATGGTTGAGGCCTCCTGGATGCCTCTCCCCGGTTGCCTCCCCCAGGCCCCTTCCACCTACCAGGTCCCACACTGGCCTTACATCTCCCCAGACCTGCGCCTCCTTTGGGGATCCCATCTGACCTCAGTCCCCAGTCCAGAGCTCTTCTCTTTCTCCTCTGTACCTAGTACATGCTTTCTGCTATTCTCTTGGCCTAAAACACTCCCTAATACCTACCTAATTCTCTCCTTCAATTCCTCTGGTCTTAGCTCAAACACTTCTTGTTCTATAAAGCCCATGCTTCCCTTCTCACAGCCCTGATCATTCTGTCTGTGTTTTGCCTGTCACAGCCAGGACCACTCTGATCTGGGCATCCCCATCACAGCCTGATCACTATGCTGAAGGTTCCTCCATCGCAACTAGTTACTCTGCTTAGGCTTCCCCATCACAGCCCTGATAATCCTGTCTGTGCTTCCTCATCAAGCCCCATCACTCGTCCTGTGTTTCCACCATTACAGTCCCAGCCACTCTGCCTGTACTCCCCCCCCATCGTAGCTCTGGCCCCTCTGGGCTCTGTCTGGTGATCTTCATTTCCCCTTTGGCCTGGGATCTCCATGAGGACAGATCCCGGTCTATCCCAGTGATAGATGTCTCCAGGAGCAGCACAGGGCATGACACAGAATCAAAGCCTTGGGGCTGTAGGGCAGATGAATGAATAAATGTCTTGGTCTCAGTCTCTCTCTCTCTTATTCCCCCTGCATCTTCTATACCACCACCCTTCAGCAGGCCTATATCCCTCTGTCTCTGCCTTTCTCTGCCCATCTCCTGTGTCTTTGTCACTTGTCACTGTTTTTCTGTCTTATTTTGTCTTCCTACTAGTCTCTGTCAGTCTCTCTGTCTCTGGGTCTCTGCCTGCTCCTGTTTCTGTCTTTTTGTCTCTTACTAGGCCTGGCTCTATCTCAGTGTGTCTGTCCACCAGTGGCCCTCATCTCCCTATACCCTCACACGCTCACAAATCCTATTTATCCCCTCAGGACTCAACCAATGGTTACTACAAGGTCCGAGGAGTCAGTGTGAGCCTGAGCCTTGGTGAAGCCCCTGGAGGAGGCCTCTTCCTGCCAGCTCCCTCCCCGCTGGGACCTCTGGGCACCCCTCCATTCTACGACTTCAGCCCACACATGGGCATGCCTGCCCCCTGCAGACTGTATAGAGCCCAGGCAGGTTATCTCACCACACCCCATTCTCGAGCTTTTACCAGCTACATCAAGCCTATATCGTTGGGACCTCCAGATCTGGCCCCCGGGACTCCCCCCTTCCCCTATGCTGCCTTCCCCACATCTAGCCACGCGCGTCTCCAGACTCATGTGTGACAGCTCTCCAACTGAAGAGTGTTGGGATCTTCAACTTGCCATAATGGATTGTCCTGGTTTCTGAGGAACCAAAACAAGTTGGTGACCTTACTTCTCCAAAACTGAACATTGAGGAGAGGGATAGATCATTACTATTGCCTGGGTCATTACTGTACAGTTTGTTTGGCCAAAGGGATGCCCCAAATGGGAGCAAGATGGCCACTATGCCCACCTATTCCCCTGTGTAAGAAATTCAAGATGCCAAGTGGGCCTTTTGCAGAGGAATAGGGACAGGAGGTGATGAAAGTTAAGCAGGGGTGGACGTTGTTTCTAGACACTGAAAGAACATATTTCAAGATAACCACCTGTATTGAGAAGAAAGGTAACATAGGGTAGATTAAGATGGAGTCCAGACCAGGCCCTTTCCTGGATGTCTCTGAGAGGCACTTTGCTTGGCCAATGGAAGTGCAGCCAAGATGGCAGTTCACTCTTTAGGAACCCAAGATGGCCACCATCTTGATTCCTTCCACCTTCCTTAAAGGCCCTGGAAGAATTGGGCCCAAGGAGTGAGGATAGGGTGAGATCTGCCACTGGACGGGGTGGGGGTGGAATCTGGGGATGAGAATATTTATGTTTAATAAAAAAAAAAGTCAAAGAAGTGACTGTGTGTTCAGGATTCTCTTGGCCTTATTACCCTTCATCAAGGAAAGGATCCATCAAGGCTGCCCTAAGGCCCTTCCTCTACCCTTAGCTATAAAGTGGCTTTAGGAGCAAAACAGGGAGTGACCCCCAACCCCTTGCTACCTGTTTAATTCTCCAGGCTCTTGTACTATATACATCTGCACAAAAATACATGCACAAATGTACACATATGACAAGTGTGCCCCGATTGGCTTGCGGACAAGTATTCTACACTGTCATTTAAGGAGACAACACAGTGAGCCCTGAAGGGGAGGCAGGGGAGGGAGAGACTATGGGTGGGAAAATAGAAATACTCTCGTACTTAGAGCAAAGATGGGGGTCCAGATCCTTGTCCTGAGGTGCTGGGTACCTGACTCAGGTCATCCTTTAAAAAGGGGACTGGGGTCTTGTTAAGGAGACCACTGCATAGACAGCGTAGAGGCCTGACCACCGCACTGTATTTCTGAAGTTGATGTTGAATAATATTGTATGTCAACTACAATTATATATACATATAGCCACAGGATGTGGAGTAGAGTGCAGGAATGGAGTCAATGGAATTGTAATAGATAAGTATGACATCGGGGGTGGGAGGGCAGTGGATGGAGGGAGGTTGTTACTTTGTGAGGGGTGAAAAGGATAACTAGTGCATTGTTCTGTACACCTGAAACTAATAATAATTTAAAAATGAGCCAGTTTTTAATGCACCAGGTGATGTAAATTTCACTTCATTTCTTCAAGAAATAAAGGTAAAAAATGAAAAATAAAATAAAATTTAAAAAAGGGGCCTGGGGGCTTTGTGTCATGGATCCTTGAGCTTGGAATTAAAGGTCCAGACACCTGAGACCCTCAGGAAGCGGAGCAGAAGGCCTAGGGCTCTTGGGACTTAGGGAGAAGAAGGCTGGGTCTCAACTGCTGTGTTTTTGACTGGGGTAATTTTGGACGGCTGTATTCCTAGGACCTTGAGAGAGGAATTTGTTAGGGGTTGGGGAGTGTCTCCAATGCTGACAATCCCTGGAAAAGAAGGAAGCTGATTTGTGAGTGTCTGGGTCCAAAGGAGGGGAAAGCTGGGGATGAGAGTCTTAAGGGAGGTCACAAATCCACAAACGTGGAGACTGTGTCCTAGACTCCAGGCTAAGCCCTTGCATGGAGTGGGACACCTGGAATCTCAAGGGGGCGGGGGCTTGACGCAGGCCCCCACCCAGGGTTTCTGAGCTGCTCCATTCTGCGCAGAGCTGCCACGCTATTGTCCTGGCCAGGAAGGCGGGGCTGGCGTGGGGCGGGGCTGGCGGCGCCAGCGCAGCCCGGGGGCGGAGGGAGGAGGAGGCGGCTGTGGTGGCGCTGGGAGCTCCTGTCACCGCTGGGGCCGGGCCGTGCAGGGCGGGAGTGCAAGGGACGTGAGGGCGCGACGGCCCAGACATGGGGCACGCCAGTCCCGCCACTCGCGGTCTGGGTCGCCGCCGGGGCCCGCCGCCGCTGCCGCTGTTGCTGCCACTATTGCTGCTGCTTCTGCGCGCGCAGCTCGCTGTCGGGAGCCTGGCCGGTGGGAGCCCCGGCACGGCCGAGGTGAGACCCGGCCGGGTCCTGGGGGATGGGGGAAGGGGCGGGACCCGGCCTCTGGACCCCAACGCGAACATGTCCAGGGCAGGAAGTGCAGCCTTTCTAGTCAGGAGCCGGCCCCCAGGCACCCCTAACGGCACTAGGCATTCATAAACCCAGGAGTCCAGGCCCCAGCTCCCCATCATCTGTCGTCCCAGCCCCCTTCCGCCCCCAGCATAGGAACTGGCTTTTTCAGAGCTCCTGGTCCCAGAAGTCCAGTCCCCTCAGACCCTCTAGACCTAAGTGACTTAGCCCCAGCCCATTCCCACCTGAACATAGGACCCACCAGGCAGTAAGACACTTGAATCTGGGCCCCTTGTATCCTCTGGACCCATGTGAGGGCTCTGCAGCCTCCCTGGACCCAGGGGTCGGGGCCTCGAGCCACCGCCCCCCGACCCAGGATGTAGTTCTCCAGCCCTCAAGGACTTGGTGTCTAGGCCTGCAGGGCCCTGAAACCAGGCCTTGTCTGTCGTCTTTGCACCGAAGAAATGGGAACCTCAGCTAGGGATGGAGGGAGGAGGGGCCAGAACGCCTGGGTTCTGACCTCCTCCCCCGCGATTCGGGTTTAACCCCTTCAGGCTCCCGTGTGGCTGCGCTGGGGTGGGGGCGGAGCCTGTCTCGGCCGCAACAAAGCCGCGAGAATCCTGGGGGACGCGGGTCGCCATAGCAACAGGAGAGCTGGGGCGATCCCTCCCTGTGGGAGCTGTTTCCCGGGAAACCGTACCTCTACTGAGGCGGGTGCGGCGTCCTTGGTGGAGGGGACTGGTTTTGGGGGTCTAAACATCTGAGTCCTACAGAGCAAAGGACCAAGGGACTAGCATGCGAACGTCCCCCGGGCCCTCACTGACCTCTCCACCTCCACACCTAGGCCCCGGGATCCGCGCAGGTGGCTGGACTATGTGGGCGCCTAACCCTTCATCGGGACCTGCGCACCGGCCGCTGGGAACCAGACCCACAGCGCTCGCGACGCTGTCTCCGGGACCCGCAGCGCGTGCTGGAATACTGCAGACAGGTGGGCGGGACCTACTGAGATGGGCGTGGTCATTGGGAACGCGGGTTCCAGATGTAGCCGAGTCGCCCATAGGAAGCTAGACATGCAAAAGGCCAGGGAGATAAGGGATCTAAAAAGGCTTGGGAAGCTAAGGAGCGTGGCTAACAGAGGCAAAGTTCGAGTAGGACAGGACCTGTTTTTGAGAAACTAGGCCAGGAAAGCGGAGAACCGTGCAAAGACTAGCTAAGAAAAGTATTCATCCAGTGAAGTGAGGGAGCTTAGCAGTAGGTGGTGGGCTCCTTAAAGAGTTAGGGGTATAGGTGGACGTGGCCAAAAGAGAGTCGAGGCTAAGACAAAAAGACCTTAGGGGCCAACAAGACAGGAAAAGGGGTGAAGCCCAATGAGAGTGGCAAGCTAGGAGATGTGGCAATAGAAAGAGAAGTCTGATGTAAAGAGAAGGGACGCTTACTGAGAGTCCAAACAGGGAAAGAGGTGAGGCTTAAAGGTTGAAATCTATGGAGAGATGAACTTGATTGGGGAAGGGGCCCAAGGTGACCAGAAGAGAGGTGGGCTTAGAGAAATTGAGTTTATGGGCGTATGGAGGGATCTTTGTAAAGAAACTGGACAGGCAAAGGGGTGGGGCCTAAGGATGGCGGGGCTTTTAAGGGAGAGTTACTAGGGGGCGTGGCCACTGAGCCTGCTGGACTTAGATATCTAAGACCGGTTCTTTGCAGAAGTAGGGCCTAAAGATGAGAGGGCCTTATGAACACTGGAGCCTTGAAAAGGGACGTTGCCAGTAGGGAAGCGCAGCTGGTAGGGCGGGCAGTGGGTTGATTGCCCCCACCCTTTGCCCCCAGATGTATCCGGAACTGCAGATTGCACGTGTGGAACAGACGACACAGGCCATTCCCATGGAGCGCTGGTGCGGGGGTGCCCGGGGTGGCCGCTGTGCCCACCCTCACCACCAGGTTGTGCCTTTCCGCTGCCTGCGTGAGTCACAGGCTGGGGGAGGCAAACGGAGGTGGGGGACTCCCAGTGGCGAGATTCTGGACCCCAGTCTCAAGGCTCACATTAAGGAGCTGGATGCCTGGGTCCTGAGAGGGGCACAGAAGCCTCTGAAGATTAAAAAAAAAAAAAATCTGGATTCTGAGGAGGGTGGGGCCAGTGGCTGTGGGCAGGTCTCACTTTGGTGCCCTCTATTCTCCAGCGGGTGAATTTGTGAGTGAGGCCCTGCTGGTGCCTGAAGGCTGCCGGTTCTTGCACCAGGAGCGCATGGACCAGTGTGAGAGTTCAACCCGGAGGCATCAGGAAGCACAGGAGGTTGGTCAGGACCCTGGCCCATCCATCTTCACCCCCCAGAACCCAGGAGTCCAGTCCTCTAACACCTTCCTTCTCTAGAAGCCAAGAGTCTGGGCCTCAATCCCCTCTTCCCACCAGACAGAACCAGGAATCCAGGCTCCCAGCCCCATCAGCCCCCAAGACCCTGGCATTCAGGCTCCCCCCTTGCCCTTTCCTACTCCACAGTCCTGGCACCTGGGCCCACTCTTCCCACAGGCCTGCAACTCCCAGGGCCTCATCCTGCATGGCTCGGGCATGCTTTTGCCCTGTGGCACGGATCGGTTTCGAGGTGTGGAGTATGTGTGCTGCCCCCCTCCAGTGACCCCCGACCCGTCTGGGACAGAAGTTGGGTGAGTGGGAGGGAATCTTCCATGTCCATCCCAAGGCTCCTGAGGCAGGAGATGGAAGCCTGGGGGCCTGGGCAAGGGTTCTTATTGCCTTGGGTCTTCTGCTCCCTCAGTGACCCCTCCACCCGGTCCTGGCCCCTGGGTGGCAGAGTAAAGGGGGGTGAGGACGAGGAAGAGGAAGAACCCTTCCTACAGCCAGTAGATGATTACTTCGTGGAGCCCCCACAGGCTGAAGAGAAGGAAAGAGTCCCACCTTCAAGCTCCCACCCTCCTGCAGGGTTCAGCAAAGGTGAGGCCATTTCTGAATCCCTAGTTCCCTCCATCCTGGAGGGAGGATGATTTGAGGGAGACCTGGTGTAGGAAAATCTTTGGAGGTACCTGTAGGGGAGAGGCCTGATTGGGGGAATGCAATAGATGAGAGCAGCTTTGGATAAAGTAGAGGTGGAAGGGCTGGCCTGTGAAGAATGCAAAGAGTGACAGTGGTTTGGGGGTACCTGGAAGTGGGAGAGCCATTCGGTAGATCCTAAGGATTATTTTGGGAAAGCTTGGAGGATGGTGTAATGGCGTCTTAAGCTTTGCAAGAACAGGCCCAGTCCAGAACTACATTCCCATGATGCTAGGCAGCAGCTATGGACACATGCTGGTCTCCAGTGCACTCTAAGAAATGTAGTTTTCCAGATAGAAATGGTGACCTGGAGATGGGCTTCAGGCTGACCCCCCCAATTCCTG